ACTAAGATGATACACAAATCAAATTCTAATTCCCGGCCACATTTTTGTTTTACTGTATAGCCGACACCAACTATCAATGATTTGGCAACATTGCAACTAGATGGGGAATTTATGTATATACTATAAAAGTAATTACTACTTAACCTCTTAACGATAACCTATTTTCATCATTAAAATAATGCAAAATTGCATTATGCAATGAATATTGTCATAATAATATACATTGTATGTTATATTTTTATAGCTTAGAGCATTTTTTTGTGCAAAAAGCAAAAAAAAACGTCTTATGAAACAAACAGATTTCTATTTTAGAGAATTACCACCCAAAATACAACTTTGAAGTTCTATAAAATAGCAAGCAGAGGCTTCCTTAAAGAAAAGCTGATGTTTTCGTACAAGTTACATCCTAATCTTTAATTTTAAAATAAGAAATGAAATATTTGCGATAAGCGCTAAAGTGGAGTTCAGCCTTGCTCGTTTCTCATAATGAACTTATCAGATAATTCTTGGTGGGCATATATAATTCATATACAAAAGAAATGAGAAATTCTAGTTTGCTTTTGTAGGTTATTGCTTCATGTCTGTATTTTTTATATTGTTACGATGGTTTAATACCCTACATTTTTTTGACTCTCAAAATATAGTGTACTAATTGGTGTATATTTTCTCTTTTAAAATATAGTCACCTGGTATTTAGATTTTGAAAATTCCCAAAATTCTGGTTCAAATTCAGAAAATAGAAAGTTTTGCCTATCTAGGTAAATGTGGCTGAAGAACCGATCGATCGAGCGCGATCGAAAACGTTATAAAGGCAGCAGTGCACAAAATTTGTCATTTCAACCTACAACCACGTCTTTTGGCTTTAAATGTGCGTAAATCAATGCGGTTTTCATGCAATATCGTTTATTTTATGTGTTTTTGTGTGTCATTGAAGTCTAGCCCCCCTTCCCCAAAAACATCCCCAAAGTTGTGAGTAACGCGAAAAAGTTATTATTTCGTGAAAATTATAATGAAAAAATGTGGTTTTTGCGTTAATCACATAAGACAAACATATCTCAAGTGCCCTTGAGTGGACATGGCATTAACTCGCGGTTTACCTCCAAAAAAATATATAGATATAAAAAATTACTATGTTGAATCAGGTCGGAAACCCCTAATTGTTGAAAATCACCTTACGCCCAAAATTTTTTCGCGGATATCTGGTCAACTTAACGTGTTCTAACAGCCCATGATAGTCGTTTGCTCAAGCGGGGTCCGGAACATACTTTTTCAGGGTTAGGGTGGGTTTACAAAAAAATTTTGGGCATAAGCCAATTTTTTTGAAATATAATTGATTTAGCGCGAACGGCATGTAAACCCACCCTAATCCTAAAAAAGTATGTTCCGGACCCCGCTCGAGCGATCAACTATCATGGGCTATTAGAACACGTTAAGTTGACCGGATATCAGTGAAAAAATTTTGGGCGTAAAGCGATTTTGAAAAATGACAGGTGTTTTTTCGAATTCTGATCGAAGTGCGGATGGGGGTGTTCCGGACCCCGCTGGGGGAAACGGCTTGGTGGGATGTTAGAACATGTTAAATAAACACGATTCGCACAAAAAAATTTTGGGCGTAAGCCAATTTTTTTGAAATGTATTTTTTTTAGTGAGGACGCCATATAAACCCACCCTAACTCTGAAAAAGTATGTTCCGGACCCGGCTCGAGCGATCGACTATCATGGGCTATTAGAACACGTTAAGTTGACCGGATATCAGTGAAAAATTTTGGGCGTAAAGCGATTTTGAAAAATGACAGGTGTTTTTTCGAATTCTGATCGAAGTGCGGATGGGGGTGTTCCGGACCCCGCTGGGGGAAACGGCTTGGTGGGATGTTAGAACATGTTAAATAAATACTATTCGCACAAAAAATTTTGGGCGTAAGCCAATTTTTTTGAAATATATTTTTTTTAGTGAGGACGCCATATAAACCCACCCTAACTCTGAAAAAGTATGTTCCGGACCCCGCTCGAGCTATCGACTATCATGTGCTATCAGAACACGTTAAGTTGACCGGATATCAGTGAAAAAATTTTGGGCGTAAAGCGATTTTGAAAAATGACAGGTGTTTTTTCGAATTCTGATCGAAGTGCGGATGGGGGTGTTCCGGACCCTCCTGGGGGGAAACGGCTTGGTGGGATGTTAGAACATGTTAAATAAACACGATTCGCACAAAAAATTTTGGGCGTAAGCCAATTTTTTTTAAATATAATTTTTTTAGCGCGAACGGCATGTAAACCCACCCTAACCCTGAAAAAGTATGTTCCGGACCCCGCTCGAGCGATCGACTATCATGGGCTATTAGAACACGTTAAGTTGACCGGATATCAGTGAAAAAATTTTGGGCGTAAAGCGATTTTGAAAAATGACAGGTGTTTGATCGAATTCTGATCGAAGTGCGGACGGGGGTGTTCCGGACCCCCCTGGGGGAAACGGCTTGGTAGGATGTTAGAAAATGTTAAACAAACACGATTCGCACAAAAAAAATTTGGGCGTTACCCAATTTTTTTGAAATATAATTTTTTTAGCTCGAACGGCATGTAAACCCACCCTAATCCTAAAAAAAGTATGTTCCGGACCCCGCTCGAGCGATCGACTATCATGGGCTATTAGAACACGTTAAGTTGACCGGATATCAGTGAAAAAATTTTGGGCGCAAAGCGATTTTGAAAAATTACAGGTGTTTTTTCGAATTCTGATCGAAGTGCGGATGGGGGTGTTCCGGACCCCGCTGGGGGAAACGGCTTGGTGGGATGTTAGAACATGTTAAATAAACACGATTCGCACAAAAAAATTTTGGGCGTAAGCCAATTTTTTTGAAATATAATTTTTTTAGCGCGAACGGCATGTAAACCCACCCTAATCCTAAAAAAGTATGTTCCGGACCCCGCTCGAGCGATCGACTATCATGGGCTATTAGAACACGTTAAGTTGACCGGATATCAGTGAAAAAATTTTGGGCGTAAAGCGATTTTGAAAAATGACAGGTGTTTTTTCGAATTCTGATCGAAGTGCGGACGGGGGTGTTCCGGACCCCCCTGGGGGAAACGGCTTGGTGGGATGTTAGAAAATGTTAAACAAACACGATTCGCACAAAAAAATGTTGGGCGTAAGCCAATTTTTTTGAAATATAATTTTTTTAGCGCGAACGGCATGTAAACCCACCCTAATCCTAAAAAAGTATGTTCCGGACCCCGCTCGAGCGATCGACTATCATGGGCTATTAGAACACGTTAAGTTGACCGGATATCAGTGAAAAAATTTTGGGCGTAAAGCGATTTTGAAAAATGACAGGTGTTTTTTCGAATTCTGATCGAAGTGCGGATGGGGGTGTTCCGGACCCCCCTGGGGGAAACGACTTGGTGGGATGTTATAACATGTTAAATAAATACGATTCGCATAAAAAAATGTTGAGCGTAAGCCAATTTTTTTGAAATAAATTTTTTTCAGCGCGAACGGCATGTAAACCCATCCTAACCCTGAAAAAGTATGTTCCGAACCCCGCTCGAGCGATCGACTATCATGGGGTATTAGAACACGTTAAGTTGACCGGATATCAGTGAAAAAATTTTGGGCGTAAAGCGATTTTGAAAAATGACAGGTGTTTGATCGAATTCTGATCGAAGTGCGGACGGGGGTGTTCCGGACCCCCTGGGGGAAACGGCTTGGTGGGATGTTAGAAAATGTTAAATAAACACGATTCGCACAAAAAAATTTTGGGCGTAAGCCAATTTTTTTGAAATATAAT